CAGTGTACCAGATGGAGATGGAGTTTAATTGTCAGACCACATGGGGGCCCCAGAGACACAGAGGTCAGGAAACTCAGCAAATCATTTTGCTGGCATACACTTTCACGATCTTTTGTGTTTTTCTTTTCTGTAAGTATTGCTACTGTAACTTTTTCCAAATATTTATTTTATTTTATATTCCTTTTCTTTCTATTTTTTAATGTAATTCAATTTTTCTTTTATTTTAACACTACAATACCATCTGGCGATGCCCTTTGAAAATTTAGATATGATACTACTTTTAATTGTATGTCATTATCAGTTTATTACACTTACAAAGTTTTCTATCCTTCTATCTATCAATTTTAAAAAGTTAAGATATTTTGTCTGGTTTAGAGCACAAAGGGTTGGCCCTATTTTCAATCTTTTATATTACATCCATCTATCTACTGAATGAATGAATGAATGAATGAATACACCTTTTTTTATTGCAGTGGCAGTTTAAAATATTTTCGTATGATCTATCTTTATTACTCAGTTTTGACGGACAGTGATCATAGATGTTTTAGCAAAGGGGTTCACTTTTTTCAACTTAATTTTTTTTTAATGGCTTCTGAGCAGTTAATTATTCTCTGTCCTCCTCCATATTATCTGGAATGTCAGTCCCTATATGTCTTTATAGTGGTCTGATGTGCGATCTCCGGCTCATTACTGAGGAATGTCAGGGAAACTCAGCAAATCATTTTGCTGGCATACACTTTCACGATCTTTTGTGTTTTTCTTTTCTGTAAGTATTGCTACTGTAACTTTTTCCAAATATTTATTTTATTTTATATTCCTTTTCTTTCTATTTTTTAATGTAATTCAATTTTTCTTTTATTTTAACACTACAATACCATCTTGCGATGCCCTTTGAAAATTTAGATATGATACTACTTTTAATTGTATGTCATTATCAGTTTATTACACTTACAAAGTTTTCTATCCTTCTATCTATCAATTTTAAAAAGTTAAGATATTTTGTCTGGTTTAGAGCACAAAGGGTTGGCCCTATTTTCAATCTTTTATATTACATCCATCTATCTACTGAATGAATGAATGAATGAATGAATGAATACACCTTTTTTTTTTGCAGTGGCAGTTTAAAATATTTTCGTATGATCTATCTTTATTACTCAGTTTTGACGGACAGTGATCATAGATGTTTTAGCAAAGGGGTTCACTTTTTTCAACTTAATTTTTTTTAAATGGCTTCTGGGCAGTTAATTATTCTCTGTCCTCCTCCATATTATCTGGAATGTCAGTCCCTATATGTCTTTATAGTGGTCTGATGTGCGATCTCCGGCTCATTACTGAGGAATGTCAGGTATAATTGACTACCTGAAAGTTACCGCAGGGGATCTCAGACATTTATTCACTCAAGCTAGTTAGCAGAACTGTGTGATGGGGATCGTAGGAGTGAGACATGTCTGAGCTTTATTCCTGATGGCAAAGGAAATGTACAGTAATAGTCCAGAATCACTTCAGTCTTCATAAAGTCGTTTTTACTTACCTCAGTTGAGCTTGTCTCCTATCGCAAAAAAAGAGATGGTGTTAATGAAAGAGGTACGAGTCAGGAAGAGTCATTATAGACATCTGGAGAAAGAGCAATGTAGCATGTGTCTCCGAGGAGGTGAGGTGGTGAGTTGAGGAGGTGTGAAATGTAGCAAGGTTAAATGATCTATTTTAGGGTCACAAGTTGTAAATGATGTAAGAAATAATGTAAGCAAATGTAAGTTGACTGGAATTATTAAATAGTAAAACAACTGTAGTAGTATAGACCTTAGTCAGGTTAGACGTCATATTGAATTTAACGCAGATGAAAATGAGACTGTGAAAGAAACACTGTATTAAAGGTCCTGGATCATGCAATTTTCACAACTCAGAACTTTCTAAACTGTTTTATGGATTTTTTCTTTTATTTTTTAGTCTACCGAAAGATGTTTTGTCAGCTGTACTATCAACATGTTAAACAACAGTACAATCCATTGAACACACTGTACTTCTATCCCTCACAGCCTCATTTGCATTCCTGTCAAAAAACTACTGTACAAGCCAGAATTTTACATTTCTGAAGAAAATATTAGTGTTTGTCTTTGCAAAAGTTGCTGCCACAATGCTAGGATGTTTTGGGTGGTTGCTAAGTGCTCTAAGTGATTTCTAGGACATTCTTGGTAGTTGTTATGCAACTTGTAGCACACTAATGAGCAATAGAAATAGTGATGTTTTAGTGAAAACCAGTAATTATATTTAAATGTGCATACAACTTTTTTGAGATAAAATATGATTGTTACAATAATATGCACTATTGACCCAGACGACCCCTTTCAAAGTCACAGTGAGACTCCCATGACAGTTTATGATTACATCAACAGGGCTAAAAGGAGAAATCAGTTCTGGCTCATGAAAATCTCAATGTGTTTGAAGAAACTGGCCCTTGGGGGCATGAAAACACACACACACACACACACAGACACACATCAGTCCTTTTCATGTTGCGACAGTAATGATTCATTCTGCTGATAGTCAGGTATGAGACGCTCAAGATATAATGATGTATCTGTTTGCTTCTGGGAAACTCTTGAGATGTTTTACCTGATACACATTCTTTGTTTGCTCTGGATTATTTAGTAACTAAGGGGATTGAATGAGTCAGGTGGGGTTCACCGCTCTCTAAGAATCGAAATTCCTTAGATGTACTTAGATCCACCTACCAAAACTACCTAACTGTATGCAAAACCTTTCATTCGATTCAAATTTGTTTAATGAATAATGTACACAAAATTAATAATTTTTTTAATGCAACTTAGAACAGTGACTGTTGATAAAATTTTGAAAACAAATCTAAACAAATTAACAAAATTAAGCAAAATAAATAATAAAATAAATAAATTAACATAAAAAATAAACCATATAATGTGATAAATAATAATAAATTATATAAATTATTTTATATATGCTTGTTTCATGAATAAGACTTACAGGTATAAAGTACCAGGGTAAGATGAATGGAAAATCTCACAGCAGTCTCATAGCTCATATATTATTTAGAGGGTTAAATATGGCTTACATTGAGCTATATCAGTGAATGGAGATCTTACAGGGTGGAGCCATGAGGCTGCCAAATATATAACGTATTATTAGAGGGCATTTAAATTACCCCAAAACACACGCATTACTTATCCACACTCACTTACTGAGGCACACATGTGCAAACCACACATATGTATGAGCACACAGAAGCCAATACACAACATCTGTTTTGTGTATAGCATGGTCAAAGGTCATTAGGTTTTAGTAGAGAAGAAATGTAGGTCAAAAGTCAGCCATGATACCCTAGTATAGTTTTAGTATACTTGGGAAAACTGCAAAGAAAGTAAATTTTTGAGAAATTAGATGAATTCTGAAAAAAGGTTTTTCATATATGTTTGTCTCTTCTGAAATAGGTCAGTTCTCACTCCACTAATACACCCACCACATAGATATGTTTCATTATGATCACTTCCCCGTGTTAAAGTGATTGATGTATGGTTTGTCCAGGTGGCCGAATGGTTTGAAGCCATGTCAGCGGGGGTTTAATCCAGTGGTGAAATGTTATACATTTAAATCGCTTGTCTAGATATGAGCCAAATCTGCCAAGCCAGCCAAATCTGCTCCATTGGGACTTTTTTTCCTCCAAACTCCCTGGGTATGAAATCCAAAGGTAAATATACCACCGCTTGATGGTTTGATCTGGGCTTCTCTGTGAAATGGAATCACAGGAGCAGCGGAGAGAGGCACAGGCTTTTCAGTTAGTAGGTTATCTGTTCAAAATCTCTTTTTGACTCATAATCAGGATATATAGTGTGTTTTTTTACTAGTAAATTGTTACATTTATTGTTTATGATAAACTGAGATGCATCAGATTTATATGTTCTCTGAGCACCCTGGGTAAAAACTACTCTGATAGTTATTTTGTTAGACAGTTATAAAATCGGAGCCGTGAAGAAAATGGATGATAAAACTTTTTTTTCCAAGCTCAGCATATGCAGTGAGATTTGATTAGATGAGACTGAATAATAAGAATAAAAACACATCAAAGAATACATGGAAAATCTGGAACTTCAAATTCAAGTAAAACATAAAAATAATAATGAAAAGTTTTAGGATTTAATTTAATAAACAAATAAAATTATGATATAAAATATTTTATTTTTATGTGAAATAAATTAATGTGCAATTTTAAATTATGTTTTGCAATTTGAGATATTATATTAGTAATTTATATATTTGTATTTGTGTATATTTTAATTTGTTTGTCTATTTAATATCGATGTTTTGATGTAAGAGCAAAATAATTCTTTTTTTTTCAGTGGTCTTCAAAATGCCAAATAATGCTGAAATGGCAATAAATGCTGTAATAATGCTAAAAGGGCAATAAAACAAATAAAAACAAATTTCTTATTATATATTTTACTGTAATGTTTTTTTAATGAAGTGCAAGTTAATCTGTCACTCTCTTTTTTATATTTAGTTTTGCAAACTTTGTGTGTTTGTGCTTGTTTTGGTGACAGCAAACAGGATTTTTCCTCCATTTCCAACTCTTTTCAATCCAAAGTAAAGCTTCCAGCATTCCTTACTTTGATACACACACAAACACACACAGGCAGACTGCAGAGCTCAAGTACTAACTATGCTAGTGTAATCCAGCTTTCCTTTCTGCCGCTTTGTAATTCTCCAGAAATATCCAGGCGTGTGTGTGTGTGTGTGTGTAATTTTCTACAGCACGCACCACAGCTATGGTATTCTAGCTTGGTAAATTGAAGACTGGAAGAGCAGTGGACAAAGAGAGAGTCACATGTGGATCAGTATACACAGCTGTGACAGCAACAGAAGACCTTTTCTCCTCCCTTTTCATTTTTTTCCTTTTTTATTCCCAAGTATTGAGACTTTTTCTGCCTTTCTAAGCTGAGAGCATCTAGACGAGATGCAAAAGAAGGTGGGGAGAGTGAGAGAAGGATGATTGGAGTTTAGGAGGGCAGAATGAAAGAGAGATTGAGAATGTGTGCTAGACTGCGTTGATACATGGGAACAGGCTGCTTATCTCCGTTTGTCCCCCTGTCAGTCATCCTGAGGCGCACACGCATACACTTCGGAAAGCTGGAGGCTCCGTTTGAAAAGGTGGTGATTAACCCCTTCCCCCTCGTTCCTCCTCCTCTGTCTCTCCCGCCGTCTGGTTCTTCTACCTGCACTCGTCTGGACTCGTTCGTTGAGTAGAGACACAGAAGGACAGGAAGGAAGAGAGATGAGAGAGAAGGAAGGGAGTGTAAGACCAAGACGGTGAAAATCGTTCTCTGTGGAGTATGGTGAAAATCCAGGCGGTATTTGGACACCTGTGGAACACAGTTTTGGATATACTAGTGTGAATTGATTGGACAACTGAAATGAACTGACTAGATTGGATTCTCTCGAGTTTAACCAGCATTTCGACACTATGTCTAAACCTTCACGACTTGCTCGCCCATCCTCTGCGGGTCCTGGCTCCAAACTTCCCTCACCTCGTCGGGATACACCTGCCAGCCGACCCAGAATGCACAGCATGGGGGAGAAGGTGATGCGGAGGGGAAGCGAGGGCAATATACCTGGCCAGAGGCCTCCTATCAATGGAACAACACATTCGCAGATCCCAAAAAACAAAGAGGATGAGATGAGCCAGCCAAGGAGCAAAATCAGTCCACCTAAAGGGACCGCAGCAGTCACACATCCCAGTAAGTAATCGATAATCAAAAGTGGATACCATCAAACTGCCCTTTTCATATTTGACCACTGATGTCTGGACACTTTTGGTCATTGTTTTCTAATTCTAGGTGGAAAATTTTATTGCTGAGAACTTGCTCTTTCTTTGGCTCAGAAGATAATCAAAGAACTTGAAATAACTTATATATATAATTGTGATCTGTGAAGTTCATTCTAAAATCTCAGGCTTTTGATTGCAGACTTTTGTATCTTGGTAAATTTGTGCACTGTTTGAGACTGTGTTGAAATCTCTTGTGAAAACTCAGAAGCAAAAATCTTCTCTATTTGCTCTCCTTTATTCATATTGCCAAAGACATTTTATTTTCTGCCCTACTCAAAGTTTTAGACCTTCTAAAGGTGTGACACGTTACATGTGACACATTGTTTGTCCTCTTTGTGATTTTAGCCTCAAGTTGAATAGTCTTAATAGTGTGACGCATAATGGGTAGATAATTAGTTTCAAATGTGGAGTAAACACATTGATATTTGTCATTATGTACCTGCATAAGATATTATTATATTTGGTGTAAGATGTTGAAGTATCCATGGGTGTGAGTAAAAATGAAACTTCAACTTTCCAAAGGTTTTTTCAAAGGTTTTTACGGGCATTTAGGGTATTAAGTAGATTTGCATGCTTGATTAGAAGTGTCTGAATGTAAGTGAATTGCATATGGTATTAAGCTAAATGTGTTCGGTGCAGGTTTTATATTTATTCACAATGGGTTTTGTGGGATTAGATCGGCAGCTAGGTTGATTTTTGCTGCATTCCTCACAAAAAAACACACACATGGGCTCACCATCACATTGCCTCCCCATTACAGCTCAGCGGGGTGCAGATTAATGCCAGTTTGTGTGTGTGCATGTGTTTGTGAGTGTGATTGGGTACCTCTTTATCACATTCCGCTCCGGTGGGTTTTAATCCTGGTTGTGGTTGAAGAGCTCCGTGTCGACTCAAAGTTGCTCTAAAGTGGTGATATAAGACCCAAATCCTGTCACCTCAGTGGCCTTCTGATGCCTGTCAGTCACATCCCTCAATGTTTAGTGATTAACACACATGTCATGTCCACTCAGGGAAATTGCAGGAACGGGACACCCCTAGGTGGGGATTTAGACTGTGATGATATTAAGGACAGGAAGTTCTTGAGGTTAACATTCCTCCTTTAGTTATCCATTCTGACGAGCACACACATGCACACACAGAAATGAGTGTGTCATTCTTTTTTGTCATTCACTTGTTCAGTAATGTATGATTAACCTCAGTAAAACCTGGTTTCTGTCATTTTTGAGTAGTGCATTTTCTCTATAGTCTATATGATTAATGCTCTATGATGGCGTCTTCTGAAACCATAGTTTGTGAAAAGAGTAGACATTTAAATTGTTAAATATTGTTTGGGTTCATTTTCCATACGATTCATACAATTAATACAATGCTGCATTCAAAGTTGAACCAGTGTTATTTTAGTGTTATTTATATAGTATTATAGTGTTTGTTAATATTTTGAATTAGGTTTAATTTTTTGTTTAATTGATAGTTTGTATTATATTTAATTTATAGTTTTAATTTTAGTTCTAGTAATTTAGTTTTATGCTTTTGTAATTTTTATTTAGCTTTATTTCTTTTAAAATTTCAGCTTCAGTTTTAGCAGTTTTTTTATTTTACTACTTCAATTTAAACTTTTATTTCAGTTATTCAGTTATTTCAGTTAGGTGCCAAGGCAACATTTCTAACACGGAGTTAAACATATTTTGATGATTATGGCCAAACCTTGTACAGGTAATATCAATGCTAATATAAAATGTATAAAACAATTGTTTTTATGACATTTGGTTGCTGAAATATAATTGGAAATAAAGGCTCTATAAGTATAAGGCCACCAATAGACGCATAAATGCAATATTTTTTCCTTTAGTACTAGTCCAATAGTTTTTTTGCTTGTTTATTATTTTCTTTTGTTGAAGCATGACAGCCATATAACCAATTACTTTTTTTAAAAAGAGTAACTTGGACATTACTCTAGTAGCTATTCTAGTTTACAGTGAATGAGGGAAAGTTGATAATAAATATAAGAAATATATTTTTGGAGCAAACCGTCTCTCAGTTCTGCCCAACTGTAAACATTTACAATGTTTACACCAATGAGCTCTTTAAAAGGTCTTTTTTCTTTAAATTGTTACTTTAAATGGACCATTTAAGAGTTAATGTTTTCTAGACTGAGTCCAAGCACAGTTCATAACATGTTGGATAAATGGCCCTCGAAAAATGAATGAATAACTGATAGATGACATTTGCCAACTGGAGAGATGATGAGTGTGCATATTTTATTCTACTAATTAATTTTTCATTTTCTAAATAAATGTTAAGCATATGTTAGTATTTAAACTTAGAAATCTGGCTGTCAATGAAGAGTGTCCTAAAGGGCAGACGTAAACCCACATGTTTATAATGACACTATATGTAAGTTATACTGTAACATAAATACAACATTGTATACCTTTCCATTGTGCTTTGAAGAACTGCACAGATCAAAGAGCAAGAGTCTAATATAATCACCTGCGATCTGATACTAATGTTTTCTACCTAAATGTGCCCTCAAAGAAGCATCTGGAAGGAAAACAAATACATTCTCTTTTTTCGTTGTCCATTTTATGTCTGGCAGATAGACTGATAAAGGAGAGTTTTGTTTATCAGCAGTCGGCTTTCTTAAAGGGGTTTTCTGTTTATCTGCAGGTAAAATGGTTCAGTCTTTTGTTTAATCTACTATTAGCACTCTTTGAAAGTTTATCACAAGCAAGTGTAGCAGGACAAAGAACTGTATCACAGTCAGTAAATTTCATGGCTGGGTGGTCTTGCTTACTCATGGTTCAGCCAGACAGAGGTTATGGGAAAAAAGAGGGCAGAGAGGGAGGGAGACACCGTCCCCTCCATAACTACGTTTATTTTAAGCTGGTTGGATCTGTACTCAGGCTTCTGCTGTTTAGATTTTCCGTGCTTAGACTATGAGTGGTCACCCAGATTGATGTGTTTAACATATCAGTCTGAGATCTGCTGATATGAGAAGCATAACATTTCACTGGGGGTTTATGGGATAGCCAGTGTAGTCCTCCAAAATAACGCATATTAACATTTGATTTGGATTTTTTACATTGCAGGACTCAAATCAAGAGAAAGTGAAACTGTTCATTAGTCATGTTTAGTCATTTTCTCATTCATTTAAAGAGATGAATGCTGTCATTTTGTGGTTCAAGTTGTTTCGAAACATCATGACATTATTCTGTGGAACACAAAATGAGACATGTTGAAGAATGCTCTGTTTATTTTCATACAAACATAGTATGATAATTCCAACTAATTTAACTTGCAGTCTGCTCCTCACACAAAGCTGTCTTATGATTCCTAAAGACTTCATAGAAGGTATTACTTGTAATGTTCTAAAAAAATAAATGGATTACAGTTTCCACAAAAATATTAAGCAGCACAACTGTCTTCAACATTGTTGACAATAAGAAATATTTCAGCAGCAAATCAGCATACTGAAGTGATTTCTGAAGGATCATGTGACACTGAAGACTGTCAAGTCAAGTCAGCTTTAATTGTATAGGGCTTTATACAATACATATTGTGTCAAAGTAGCCTTATAGTGGCAAACAGGAAAATAGTTTGTCAATAATGCAAGACAATAATAACGAAATTCATTTTTTAAGTTAAAGTCAGTTCATTGATGATTCAGTGATGTCATCAACCAGTTCAGCTCTTTTCCTATAGTTTCTGTGCAATCAGTCAAGCGTCCCCAACTAAGCAAGCCAAAGGCGACAGTGGCAAGGAACCAAAACTCCATCGGTGACAGAAATGGAGAAAAAACCTTGGAAGAAACCAGGCTCAGCCGGGGGGCCAATTCTCCTCTGGCCAGACGAAACCAGCATTGCGCGGTTTAATTCTAGGCTGCAACACAGGTCAGATTGTGCCGAGGACTTGTCTGGTTCCCGTGGTCTTGTGCCGATGGCTGTGTTGTTGACGCGGCCTTTGCAGGGGATCTGTCTCTAGGGCTCATCTAGTTGACATGGTCTCCGCTGACATTCAGGGCTGTAGAGGTTGTCACTAGGTGCTGGTCCAACATCTGGTCTGGATGTGGACTGGATCCGTTTGGCTACGGTGACCTAGATTTAAACTGACAGAGTGTATCTGTCTCCCGAACAACACTAAGTAGATTGTTCCAGAGTTTGGGCACTAAATAGGAAAAGGATCTGCCGCCTGCAGTTGATTTTGATATTCTAGGTATTATCAAACGGCCAGAGATTTGAGATTGCAGCGGACATGAAGGACTGTAATGCGATATGAGCTCACTCAAGTATTGAGGAGCTAAACCATTCAGGGCTTTATAAGTAATTAGCAAGATTTTAAAATGTATACAATGTTCAACAGGGAGCCAGTGCAGAGTTGACAGAACCGGGCTAATATGGTTCTAGTAAGAACTCTAGCTGCTGCATTTTGGAATAGCTGGAGTGTGCTTATTAAGCACACAGAGAAACCACCCAATAAATCATTACAATAATCTAAACTTGAGGTCATGAAAGCATTAATTAACATTTCTGCATTCGACATCGAGAGCTTAGATAGTAATTTAGATATATTTTTAAGATGGAAAAATGTGGTTTAGCAAAAGCTAGAAACATTGTTTTCAAAGGCAAGATTGCTATCAACTAGCACACCTAGATTCCTTACTGATGATGAAGAATTGACAGAGCAGCCATGACGTGTTAGACAGTGTTTAAGATTATTACATGCAGAGGTTTTTGGTCCAATAATTAAAACCTCAGTTTTTCAGAATTTACAGTAGCAGTAGGAAATTACTAGTCATCCAGCTTTTTATATCAACTATGCATTCCATTAGTTTTGCGAATTGGTATGTTTTGTCAGGACACAATGAAATATAGAGCTGAGTATCATCAGCATAACAGTGAAAGCCAACACCAT